AACAAGCTGGTGAAGCGCTCCTCGTCAATGCGCGGGCCTCGTGAAGAGCCCAGAACGAGCACCTCGACCCTGCGACCGTCCTTCCGTCGTCCGGCCACCAGTCACCAACGCAACGCAACGCTGCAGAACTACGGCGCGCGGCTGTCCATGACGGCCGAGCACACTTCCATGGACGAGCACCCGCATTCCGCAAGCACCGACAGCGAGGCCGAGTACACCCAATTCTTCACAGCGAGAATCATGAAGGAGCGGTCACTAACGAGGCGGAGAGGCTCCGTGGCATATGCGAACGGGTTCAAGAGGATATTCCCGGACGACAAGCACAAGCCCATGCTCGTGCTCGCGCGGTCGGTCGTAGCAGGTTCAGAGGACGTAGATGACTCGACAAGCGACGACGGTGAAAGCGTCTTCTACGTAAGTAGGCCAGAGACGCCGCTCAGCATGACGGCCATGTTTGCGTCCAGGGAAGCAAACCAAACTCGTGGCCGGCCCTCCACATCCCAGCCCGAGCAAGCCCCTCGACCCAAGCGCTCCTTCTCCATCACTTCCTTCCTGTCGTCCAAGAAGGAGCGAACAGGCGCCGTGTCCAGACCCAGACTTTCCCGCCGTGCGAGCCAGCGGGTCAACTCAGCACCCATCCTGCCTACTATGAGCAGACGGCCACACAGCACCTCTTATGGAGAAGGCCGCCGCGATGTGACGGATCCCAAACCAGCAAAGCGCGACATCGCCACGTCCGCCGGGCTGCCCGAGTCAGCGACGGCACGCAATGCTTCCCACACCAGGCGTCTGTCGTCGCCCTTGCCGGCGCTTCCTTCCTCTGACATGCTCGCTGGCGCGGGCTTGGCGCCCTTGTCTCAGCAGCCCGACGATTTGGCCTCAGCCGCACCGGGCGCCAATCAGGCGCCACCATCCCCTACTCTAGCGCAATCGGGAGTTCGGGTCTCGCGTCATTCCATGGCCCCCTCAGAACAGGCCTCGACATTGGTCGGCTCGTCTGATAATGAACTTCGCGCCTTAGGCTCCGGCGACGAGGACGACGCTGACGTCCAGAGCGACACCGTCTTTGATTCGCTGCGCACTGGTGCGACCAGAAGTACAGCTGGCGGCGCCCGTGGGCCTCGCATTGAGACCATATTCGACGAGTCACCCCCCGCCAAAGTCAAGGTCAAGGTTACAGCCCTACGCGATCTACTGCCGCCCGGCGCTTTTGGGGAGCCCACCGTCAATGGTGTCGCCGGCCACCAGAGCATCGCCGAGGAAGAGGAGAGCATCTCGACACCCGTGCGGACTGTTCGTCCCCAGCGCTCATCGCAGGACTCGCCCACCTTCTCCCGAACACACAGCGCGCCTCTCTTTCCCAAGTCGATAACGTCGTCTCCCCCGAGCATGCCCAAGCCGCTTTCGCTTGGCACATTGGAATGGGACTCGCGAGCAGGGGACGAGGACGATAGCAGTAGGTGGTCACTAGAAGAGGCAGATGATGAGGATCCCTGGGTTGATCATCCAACAGTCAACCACAAGGCCACACCCGTGTCGCTGCTGCGACAGCACAAGCATCTGCTCGCACCCGATCACGTTCCTAACCCAGCTACGCCCAAGCGTCCCACATCAGAATTCGGCGACAAGGACGCGCGAAGCAGCATCTTCGACTGGTCTGAACAGCAAATCGCAGATAAGAACTCAGGCAGCTGCACGCCGCCACGACCTCGGACGGTGCATGGAAAGAAGGATGCGGACCGCAGAGGCAGTCGCTCTGTTGGACGCAGAGTCCCCAGCGGGTTGCACGCCCGCAGCCAGAGTGTGCCCGTCGTTCCGGATCTGACTGGCAAGCGTAGCACAGTGGTCACAAACAAGTTTGGCACCTGGGGTGTGGGAAGCAAAGGTGTCACCGAAGACTGGAACGACGACTTTGACTTTTCCGAGCTCACTGAGGAGCCTGCTGCAGAGGACGGAAGCTCGCCTATGGGGAACAGTGGCTCGTCTATGGTCGTACCAAAGACTATACAAGAACAGCAGAACAACGTCCTTGCGAACATCAGTCTTCTGCGCGAATGGGGTCTACTAATTGAGGAGCTCAAAGAGCAAAGAGTACGCGCGGTTGCGCTCGGCATGATACAAGGCCCCCCTTCGGGCATGTGGCTTGAAGTGGATGCGATGATCGAGCTTGCAGACCAAGAGGCCGACCACGAGGGCCTGGCCCACGCCTCTCCGCCCTCATCGCCTGGCTTTGACGATGACGCCTTTGACGAACCACCTGCCAGCCCTAGCCTTGGACGAGGAAGGCAGAAGTCATCATCTCCTAACGAAGATAGCCCCAAGCCACCACAGTCAGCGCGCCCTCTGAGGAAGTCGATTCTCCCATCCAACAACGGCATCTTTACCCCGCAATCTTCACCGATCACATCTAGACTGGAATCCGACGCCACACCTGCGACACACGAATCCAAGACTATCGTTACGAGACCCCGGAAAGACTCGGAGGCTAAAGCACGTTCTGTCATCGAAGCGCTGCAAAAGAGGAGGAGCGCATACGAGCCGTTCCTGGATGCGCCTCCCGTACCTTCGACACCTTCGAAGAAGGTTCCATTCGACACCGCGACTCTGCGACGCATCGTGCCATACGTTAGTACGTTGACGCGCAAAGTCAAAGACACGATCAGGGATGCGGAGGGCTTGTACTCGAGTCCTATCGCAAGCCCACTACACGAGGAGCCACCATTCAGCATGATTCACCAACAAGATGCGGATCTTGCGGCTCAGATGAAACTCATGACAGTGATGTAAATTCACAGGAAACAACGACGCGATGGAGCTATTACGAGCATGTTTGGGGTAGCATTCAACTCGCTCCGTGCTGGCCACACGCATCTGGGCAAAAGTTTGTGGGGAGAAACAAAAGTTTCTTCTGGATATTTCCCTTTGGATCAGAGCGTTTGAGCGACGATCCGGCCTCCATGGCCTGATCACCTTTACCCTGTATTAATTACGCAGCCGTCGATTACCAGGTCAGGCCAAGTACTGCATTTGAAGCGACATGGCATTTGCGATTCCTTTTTGCATAAGTTGCAGCATCTCCCAGCCAGGATACACGTGGAAAAGAGGAGGCATGCGATATGAAGCGCACATGCGCAGCATGCATATGTTTTGTCTAATGGAAGAATACGGCGCATTGAGGATTGGGTTTCCTATGTGGATGTGGAGCATATAATACTCTCCTGGTGGGATGGGCATACCGCGCAGTTCGCGAGAGCCGCTTTTCTACACGTCTCAGTCATGTACAAAAGCGGGTTAAGGGTTTTCTCTTTGTTCCTTTGTCTCATTGTCTCTCTTGATCTATGGTATCTTGAATCACCATGAGGGTCTTCTCAAAATCATAGCATCGATATCTGACGGCTGCTCACTGTCGCACAAGACAAGAATACACAGAATTTGAAACATATCTTAGACTACCGTCCCGCTCATACATCATGATGTCTTCACTTTTGACTTTCGGGTTCGGCAACTCTATCGTATCCAGACAGTTTAGGCCCTCTGTGTGTTCTCTAACAACCGACAGAACCATATTCTGAAACTTCAGTACACCGCCACTTTCTTTTAGAAGACGGTCATTCCGGAATGTACTGTCGTATCCTGATTCCCGGTTGAGGTCTCTCGAATACATCAAAGCTCCGGAGCCGTTGTTGCGAGCCCAGCTACTGCAGCCCCATAGCCGAATCACATACCACTAATGCATTTACACGCAGCGCCCTGATGAGCCAGCTACTAAGACATCGCCGAACGAGGCGCAGTAACCCGCACGCACGCACTGAAGATCTCCTGCGCATCTTGTTCATGCCGGAGAGCCAGATCATCGTACAGCAGCGTACCACTCGCTTTCGCTTCTGCCCGGGCGGGTCAATGAGCGGCAGAGACACGGGACGAGAAATCCGTGCAGAACACCATTCCACAGCAAGACAATAGAGTACCCAACAGTACATGCGTGAAGTCCAGTCTCCTTACAGATACTCCGTACGAGTAAATTGTGCGTCAGGCCATACCAACAATCTTGGATGATCACAACAATACAGCCCATGTCGCATTCCAGTATAAAGCCGAAGCTACCACTAACCGAGAGACGCCCTAAGACGCTGCACTGTCATCCACGATGCATATTCCGGTTTTCCCAACGATATAGCTTACCACATTTCGTGCTATACAGCTTCTTTCGTTCACCCTCGGGATGGCTACCGCGATTGATGGTCCGACTCCCCGGCAAGCGCATACCACGCGTCCAAGGGTGGGAAGAATACCCTCGGCCGGTTCGGTGGCACGCCGGAGTACTGTAAACAGAGCCTCCACGACCCTGCTCCACTATTTCCTTGTAGACGTGTAAACGGTCGCACGACTTGCCCTATGGAAACATGCGATTGCTGCACCAAGACGAAGGGCGAGTACTGCGGTTCCCTCAACGCGTACTCGCCAATTTCAATGTGCATGTAGCTGAGACTGCGATGGTTTGACGGTAGGGCAAATCCTCAGACCCCGCGCTGTTATTCATCCGAGGTCAATGACGTTCCTTCTGTCTTGGGAGGCGCAGGCCAAGCAATGACGGGAAGCAACACCAAGAGAGAGGCGACTGCCACTTTGGCTGCTTGCCTGACTACATGCTAGAAGAGGCGCAAGTCTATATGTGAAGCGCTGCACTCCTGTCCATCCTGGTGTTCCTTTTCCCATCTGGACCAATCCTCGTATCGAGACGCTCAACAGCCAACTGCCTTCCAATCTCCACGACCTCACGGCGCTAACACCAAGAAAGAGAGCTCCTCGTACCCGTTGCCTGGACTACATCCGTACCTTGCATACCTCAACTGCGCCCCAACCAAACCTACTCCAATCTCGCTAAGCTCCGGCTCGGATTTGTTACGCCTCCAGCACGGCGCAACTGCCCAAATCAATTGCCTTGCAGTGCTTGCGTCGGAAAAAGGCCAGCACTCTCACGTCATTCTCCGCAATTCAACATGGCGCTGAAACACTTAATAGCAGTGGTGGGCCTGAGCGGCTGCTCTGGTGTGCTGACGGCCAAAGCGCAATCCACCTCCACTGGTGCAGCATGCGCAAGTCCCATTGCCCCACAGAATGGTGCTCCTTCGGTGGCGCCGGGGTTCCGTGTCGAGGTTGTGGCTAATGGCCTGAGGGATCCACGCGGCATTATTTTTGATCGGGAAGGTGGGCTGTTGGTCGTCGAACAGGAGCATGGGGTTAGCCGGTTGAGTATGACTGGTAATGGCCGGTGTAGGGACGTGCAGATGGTGGTTGAGGATGACTCTGTGAGTGTTTGCATCGCGTTGAGTAAAATGTGACTGATCGCTGACTATGGCAGTTGAACCATGGCATTGCTTTCTCGCAGGATGGAAATACGCTCTATGCATCATCCCACAGCAACGTCTACGCTTGGGACTACGATGCATCCGAGGGTAAGACTACATCCGAACCCCGTGATGTCGTCGAAGGCATGGGAGACGACGAAGGTCATACTACGCGTACCCTTCTCATGTCCGAGAAGGTTCCTGACATGCTACTTGTCTCTCGTGGTAGTGTGGGTAACATCGACCTCCAGACCCTGGATGTGACTACAGGAGTCTCGACAATTAAAGCTTTTAACGTAGGCAACATGACCGGCTCCGCGTACGATCATGCTTCAAGCGGACTGCTGCTAGGTTGGGGTCTGAGGAATTCGGTAGGAGTAGCTGAGGAACCCATCTCAGGTGGTATATACTCTGTCGAGAACAGTGTCGACAACATCGAACGTAGTGGAGAGACTATCAACCAGAACAACCCTGGTGAAGAACTGAACTTCCACGGTTACCTCAATGGAACTGGGAGCGATGTACAAGGTGGCAACTATGGCTACCCTTCGTGCTTTACAGCATGGAACAGGTCCGAGATTCCGGATTTCGGTGGCATGACGGGCGAAGCGTTTGCTATTGGAAACCAGAACGCGACTGTCAATGATACCTTCTGCGTGGAAGACCGTATCGCTCCTAGAATCACGTTCGATGCTCACATGGCTCCCCTAGACATCAAGTTCAACCCTGACGGCACTGCCGCATGGGTAACGATGCATGGCTCTTGGTAATTTGGCCTACACTTCTCTCTCTGTACCCCTCTAACGACTGTACAGGAACCGCGAAGAGCCCATCGGCTACAAGCTCAGCCTTGTCCAATTCGACGGCAAGGGCTCACCTGTCGAGCTCGCGAACAGTACCACTGCTGCTACCGATATTGTCTCCAATCCTGACCTCTCCGCTTGCCCTGACTCCTGCTTCCGCCCCGTCGGCCTTGCGTGGGATTCCGAGGGTCGCTTGTACATGAGTTCGGACTCTACGGGCGAGATATTCGTCGTTACGAGGGAGGATGGTAGTGGTATTGCGGATGTGAGCGAGGCGGCTGACGCGAGAGAGAATGAGAGCCCGACACCGTCTGGAACTGGAGGTGTATCGACGCCGACTGAGACAAGCGGTGCTGCGCTGAACTTGGGTGTTGGAAGCGGAAGTTATCTGGCTGTGGGTGTCGCTGTTGTCGGCGCGCTTCTGTAAAGATATAGATGAGGAAGAGTCATAGTTCTCGGGTACACACTACCTTGATAGTACAATGCACTGCACGCTCAACAGCACGCTCAACAGAGCGCTGTGCCTCAAAAGCTTCCTCCCAACCTTCCAGATGCAATTATGCAATAGCTGATGGTCCGCAGAAAAGCGTGGGATATTCTTCGCGAGTCACATGTCGACGTTCGAAATGAGATGTGCGTCATTGGCTGTCCCTGCCCTCGAGGCCATGTGGAAGACCAAGGGAGCAGCGGCAACTACAACCATCATCATCGCCTCCAACCCCACAATCAAACTACGAAGTCCCTGATCATGCCTTTGACACCGACATCGCTCAGTAACCTCCACCTCCCACGTCTACGTAACCCCGTTGGAACCCTGCCTGACGCCTACAAACGCACACTGGACCAGCACAAGCGTTTGCAAGTTCTCATCACTATTGCGCCCAGCGATCCGCAAGACACCTCAGCTATCCTTCCCAATCCGTATATAGGCCGTCGTCTACCACCGCGAAGCTTAGAGTACTCGCATAGCCCGGAACAGCCGTACATTCGCGCGCGGTGTTGATTTTAGCTGGGGACGATTGGTAGCGTTCACCTTCACCTCGTCTCGCCACGGCCGTCTACGGCCAGTCGGACCCCTGTCGCCTTCACTGTCTATGGAACAATAGGTGAGTTTCTGTTTTCCCGGCTAGTGAGGGTGAGCTTGCCTCCGTATATTATCCTCACACACTGCCAGCCTCTTTTCTCTCACGAACCCTCTTCCTCCATCGCACCGGATCAGCGAATAATTCAATCATTGACCTCTTCAGTATCCCATATCAACATGGCTCATTCCCAGAGCCCATCTACTGCTACGGCGTTCAACTCTCTACCCATAGAGGTATGTATTCCCAACATGCATGCGTGAGTAGACTTGAGAATACTGACGATCACTCGTAGCTCAACAAGGCCATTGCTCATGAGCTGCACGACGACAAGGACATCGCGGCCTACAAGGCCACCTGCCGTGCTACCAACGATGCCATCGACGCCGATAACCTATCTTTCTGGCGCGCAAAGTATCGCGAGAAGTACGACTTCAAAGCCGGCCCTTCCAACCTCAACCTGCGTAGGGTATATCAGCGTCGCTCCCGACTTTTCAAATACGGTCTTCGTTACAAGTTTCACTACGGAACCCGTCAGGGGGAGAGGCAGGTCATTAACATGATCAAAGACATGATCATTGGTACGTCGGAAATACCCAGGAACTGAACACAATTTTCGTGTGCTAACGAATACAGAATCCTATCAAGGAGCTACCGAAGTTGACGAGCATGGCCGTCTTCGTTGCAAGAACCACGTCCACATTGTCGACTTCATTCTCAAATCCCATATCCTCAACAACGACCGACGGGCCCCTGAGACCCAAAACGGCAAGATGGCTTACATCGACGATGGGCTTGCCGCTGTCCGGCTCATGTGCTCGCAGTTCATCTTCAACCTCGAAGGCTTGCGACATGATGTCTTTGCTTTCGAGGACTCACAGCACGCTGTCTACCTCTCATCTGACAAGGAACGCCTCTTCACCGGAGACAACCACAACAAGTTGAACCTCAGGTGGATGCTCCACGCGATGAACTTCTTCCGTCACCACATGATGAACGAAGATGCCCAAACTTTGTTCGACAGGATCGATGAGCTAGACGTTACCCAGAAGCCTTCAGCATGGCGAGAACAACTCACCGACGGAGCCAAGCCTCTGAGCAGGTACTGGAAAGGCACCTACTCTTTCCTCGAGAACATTGAGGTTCAGAAGCTGCGAAAGCAGGGACCAGGCAGACAGGTCTTCATTGACAAGAACGTGGACGAGGGCAAGATCCAGGTAGATTTCCAATTGGGAATGGCCTTTACGAACCCTACTGATCACATGCAGTCTCTCGAGCTTGCTTTCGCAGAAGACAGTCGCCTACCCGATGGTCGCGAGCTCCCATGGCCACCCGTCTTCGAAGACCGCCTCCGCTCGCTTGGGAAGGACGCTGGAAAGCAGCCAGGCATCAAAACTCAGGGTCGAAACACTACCCCCAAGACAACTACAGGAGGTAGCATCCAATTTGAGGGCAAGGGCGAGGACCTCGACGATGAATACAAGGCCCTTGGCTGGCTCAACCCACTGCCCCCTCAAGGTGGTGTCCCCGGCTGGCAGCGCATCACCTTCATGAAGCACTTCACTGAGGACTACGACCACCCCAACGAGGACAATCTCTGGGCGTACGAGGGCGTTGTCTTGCCCGGTGGTCGCATCATCCTAGGCCGCTGGTGGTTTGCATCAGAGCCAGGTCGTAATGATGTAAGTACCACCTGCCCATGACATGTCATTCCTGCTTTCGATGGACATGTACTAACAAACGCTAGATGGAGTACAACGGCCCCTTCATCCTCTGGGCCGTCGACGAACCCGACTTTGACGAAGACATCAGTGATGATGAGGGTGCTTGAACGGCGAAACACATGATGTCGACGGCAACTTGGTTTTGGTCCTCCATTCCACAACACATATCCCCTTTGTATATCTTTTGGTCATCTACCTTATCTCCCCTGCACATTCTCTGGCGTTCGAATATATTTACATACCTCCGGTGGCGGAGTCTTCAAGGCCTGGATGCCTGGACATTTCCCTTTGCTTATCTTAGTTTGGCATCACATATCACATAGCCTCTTTCTCTTAGCTTTTGGAGATTTGGGAGTAGGACGGATGTCCTGAATCAAAAGTCTTGTTCAATGATCGTGTGTAAGAGTTCGTTCGTATGATATCGAATCTGTGAATGTACCAACCCAAAAGCGAACATGTCGCAGCTGAGCTCGGTCTTTCGTCAAGATACATCACGAAGTCTCAAATAAAAACGTGCAAACCAGAAAGCATGTACAAAGAGACCGTTTTCCATTTCATATCTATCTTCATTTCGTAAAGTCATGTCGTGAATCATTCATGTGTGAGCCAGAAGACTCGTTGTCGCATCAACCAAAAAAACACTTCTTCTCTTTCCTTCCCAACCCAAGAAGTTGCCTCCATCCATCGTCAATCATCAGAGTCGCGAAAACAAAAGAATGGAGCTGCTCAAAAAGAAGAACAATAACATTCACCTCCTCGCTTAACCAAGCTTTCTGAAAGACAGAGTAATAAAAAAGGTATGTAACAATACTTCTATCATCCACCGCAGTACAAGTAACCAAGTCGGCCGTGTCGTGAATAATCATCGTGAGTAAACCAAAGAAAAGAAGCATCTAGTACCTCGCACCCATGGGTGGGGGCGGGACCGAGCTACCGTAGGGATTCGCATCGGCATAGGACGTAGGGTAGGATTGGTTGGCAGCTACAGGATATGCGTACGGATTAGCGGCTGCACCATTCATGTTGCCACCGAGGGCGTTCATCCGGGCTTCCTTCTCGCGGCGTTCACGGAGCTTTCTCCTCTTGCGGCGGCGTGTCTCGAGTTCCTTGACGCTGTGGCGTTGCTCGTTCATCTCTTTCCATTCCGAGTAGGCGGATTTGATACCGAGGGCGGCGATACCCACGGCGGCGGCGTCCTGGAGCATGTTCTTGGACTTGCGTTTGCGCGCTTCTTCGGCCGTCATTTCGCCCTCGCCAACGAGCTTGCGGCGGTTCTCCGAGGCGACCATGGAAGAGTAGACTCCGTGGGCGGCGTGGATGGTGGCCACAGTGGCTAGACCCGCAGTGAGGAGTTCCTTACCTCGTAGCTTCTTGCGCTTCTCCTCCATATCGGTGGACGACTCGGAATCCGCGCTAGAATCCCGTCGACTCCGATCCATTCCTCCATTCTGTGCTGTTAAAGCACCTGCTCCTGCCCCACCGGCGGCGGCTAGTCTGCGATCTGGGTTAGTCCTGGAAGGGGCTTCGGAATACTGGTCGTCCATACCGCGGCCTCGGCTGTACGAGCGGCGGTTGCCCCTACGTGATGGCACGTAGCTGTCCGAGCTGGAAGAGCGGGATCGGTCCTTTCGAGCACGAGACTTGGAGCGCACACGGTCGTATAGAGCCTTGCCTGCTGCGAGCACAGCACCGGTACCAGCTACCTTGGCGATACCGTTGTTTCCTCCTCTGTCGCTGGAGTTGGAGCGGGAGCGGCCACGAGAGCGAGAGCGTCCGAAGATGGACCTAGACCTGGACCTGGCACGAGAACGGGAGCGAGACCTGGAGTCGTCACGGCCACGAGGAGCACGGGAGCGCGAGCGAGAGCCGTTGGCTAGACGAGAAGCGACAAGACCACCGAGTGCAGACTCGGCGACGTGCCTCTTCTCGTGCTTGCCGGGGTCTCTGTCGATGAGACCGTCGATACCGGCAGCACCAAGAGCGGCAGTTGCAACACGTTGGCCCTTGGCACCGGTCCATGGACCGGCTTCCTTGCGGCTGCGGAAGGCTTCGACGGCACCGGCGACGATAGCGGCTTTGGCGGCTTGCTCCCACTTCTCAGACTTGTGTCCTCCTCGGCTGCGGCTGCGCGAACGTGATCCGTAACGGCTGCTTCGGCGGTCGCGCTCGTCGTAGTATCCGTATCTGTCGCTATCATAGCCACGGTCGTCTCGACGGGGGCGGGAGCGCGATCGGTCACGACCGCCGCCAGTGACGGCGCCGATGATGCCGCCTAGGCCTGCTGACTCGCCGAAGTCCTTGACTTTGTCGACGATGGACTTGCGGCGCTGCATGTTGGGGCGCTCGGAGTACTCGGAACGGTCGTCGTAGTCGCGGTCACGTCGGCGGGGACGGTCATAGTAGTCGTCGTCATAGCCACGGTTCACTGAGCGGGTGCGGCGGGGCGGCGCATACTCCTCGCGGTACTTGGTCTGCCTATACTCGGCACCGGGAGGGAAGTCGCGAGGAATTTCTTCGATGCTGTCCTCGCGCGCTGCGGGGCGGTAGACGAGATCTCGTGCCCCGCCTCCACGGCCGCCGCGCTCAATGTACGTCGTCTCGGTGACGTACTCGGGCTCCCGCGTACGGTGCCGCGGTGCGTAGCTGTACTCAGACATAGTGATGGTGGTGGTGCTCTATACCGCCGTGGGCGATTGTGGCTCTAGGGGTCCGGCAGCAGGAAGGGTCGTATCCAGTGCGGTATTCTGCGCAAGGCTGGGTTAGTGGGCGCGCGAGGGGAAAAAGAGAGCGGCGGCGTGCAAACATACCGAGTGGTCGCTTTGTTCAGATAGAGTTTACTTGGCTGCTAGCGCAAGTGAGAGGCTGGTGGGCTGTCGCAACGAAGAATAAGGTGCCTGCGAAGTGACGGGACAAAGTGGGTAGGGGAATGGGGTGTCGAGCGGCGCAGGGCACAGGCAGGCAGTGGTATTTAACAGGTTGTCGACTCGGGAGGGCCAGGGCTGATGACTGTCCGTTTGGCTTGGGTCCCAAGGATCTATCTCGGTGCAGGTGGGGTGGCGTAGATATTACCGTTTGCTTGAGGCTGGGGTGGGCAGCCGTCTTGAGGGCACAGAGCGTGCAAGTGATGTCATTGCCGCCAGCCGGGCAGCCAAGCCCAATTCTTCTGCCACCACCTGCTGCGCCCAACGAGAAGCGCCTGTCCAACCCGGCTAGGTCTGATGATTTGCGCAGCTTTTCTGACCGGCATCCCTCACCGACGCACCCTTTGGGGGTCTTTTCGCTGCGAACATGTTCAACGTGCTGCTCGACATAGCCCCTCTCCGGCCGCCTCCGGAACCTGACCGGTGCCTCACTTCTGTCCATCTTACGTTGCGACGCCCCCAACGACAGCTGCCGTGAGGTAATGCTTATTCTGCCCATCTGCATGGCGGCGTCTTCCAACTCCACATGCCTCGCTGCGTCTCAGTCGTTCTTCCAAGTTTCGGTGCTGCACCTGGCCAGCTCGGCAGCACTCAGGCTCGATGACGAAGCCCGGTGCCATCGCGTGTAGGGGTGCTATGTACAGAACGCCACGTGAGTCAGCTGTCATTGGCCGGCACCCGTGGCAGGCACATGGAACTCCAGCGAACATGCGAGGATACACCTGTCAATCCGTGGGCTGACACCTAAACATTGGCCCGAACTACGGAAAAACCGGGTACTACCTGTCAGTTGTTAAAAGATGCCCAACTACATACTTTTCTTCCTTGAATTTTATCACGTAAATGACGATATGTCTTCATGATGTGCCATTTTTAGTCGCTACGATCTGCCTAGGTAAGGCGAGTTTCTTGACATCGTAGTAGCTGCATTGTTTCACACAAGTGCGACAACTTTTCAATCCTCTTCTCGATATCCGAAACGACCATCTCTGCATTATCGTTTAACGTATAGTGAACTGTAAATATCTCGCATTCTGCCATCGGACCTGTCATCATATCCGAGTCACGTCACTAGTCTAAGCTGCTCGCCGCTGCCAGCCCATGTCATGATCTCTCCCTCTGCCTCTTGCGCGAACGTCCTGACATGTACTCACCCTGATCAATTGAGCCCTCATCCCTCTCATTCCGCTGTCTCTTCTTGTCCACCGTCATCGAAGCCGTCATGTTGCCCATCTGGCGCTCCAAGTCTTTCGAGAATTCTTGCAACGCAGGTACGATACCGAAGCACGCCCTGCTGCTCTCAGCCACGAGCGTCCACTTCTTCGTTCCGGGCTCGCTGAGTGTAACCGCGCGGATCATGATGAACTCGTCTGCTCTATCGTTGCGGCGGCCTAAGGCGGCAGCAGCGGGGATGGAAGAGGAGCGGTCAAATACGTGGCGGCAGATGAGGATGGAGAAGCCATGGTTGTTGGGGTAGGCTGGTTGGTACAAGTCGATGATGTATTCTGTTGCGCAGTCAGTATTGCAGAGTCTGCTACAGCGCCTTCCGGCAGCGGAAAAGTGGGAAGTGACATACCAAGGACGCTCTGCTTGAGCTCGCGCTGCAGTTGCAGGTCCTCGAGACGGCTCATCTCTTGCATTGACCTGTGGTTGGCCATGAGTGCGATTTGTTGCTCATGCGGGGTGGAAGGTTTTGGGATCGAGGGTGAGGTAGGGTGGTGGTAGGCGCGAGGAAAGCGTCAGGGTGTTGAAGCGGAAAGCGCAGGTGCGCCACGTGTGAGGAAGTCACCTTCACCTCCTGCTTGTTTTATCGTGATATAGCGAGTAGTAGTACTTCTTGCGGATATTCCAGCGTATAAGTGGGCGCGTAATTCGGAAGGTGAAAAGACATAAGGGGGGTAGCATCTGTGGCCACGTCTGGGTCTTCCACGGCGGGCTATGTCCTCTGGTCGATGGTTTGCAATGAAAATTGCACTGCAGCCATGTATCCCGCAATACAGCGTCCTATTGCTCGTATCTTCAAGCCTTTGTATCGCCTCGCGCTTATACGGCTGGTGCAGTTGTGCAATCTTGCAGTTTCCAAACTCTCTACTTCGCGCTTATGGTTAATGTCATCATATGCCTGAGCCATATAATGGGTGCTGAGGAAGGTGTGGGCTTGTTTCAGATCCTCGAGAATACAGTGTTCCCTCAAACCTTCCTCATTGACACCGCGAGACCGTCTGTCTTTGATGTTGGATACATCCCGATCTGAAGGTTGTACAATATCTTCCATGAACTCGCTTCTAGATGGCTGGTCCAGGTGCGCAATCTTCACGTTCTTGAGCAATTGCTTCTTCTCATGGTCAATGCGAGACCTTCTGTCTTCCATGTCGGAGACACCGCAGTCTGGAAACCGTACAGGGTCATTAAGGGACGAACTAGCCATGAAGGGGGAGAGCTCGTCAACGTCGCTGATCCTATGTTCAGGCTCCCGTCTTCTCTTTGTGCCTTGATCGAACCATACCTCGCATTCAGAGCTTTGATATTGCTATCAGCATCAATTGCGAAACCTGATAATCATGGAACTCACCATGTGAAGCCTCCGCCAGGACATGGGATAGCTCGAACCGAAGTACACCGAGGCATGGGACATAATTTCTCCTTATCTGCTCTCACGATGACTACCATTACGATGGATGTTCCCGGTAAGAGTTGAGAAGTTGTCGTGATGATTGATGACCTTTCTTTCGATCTGAGAAGCTCATAGTTGCCTAGCGCGACATCTTGAGAGGCGGCACCCTCTTTGAAACGATGACGAATGCAATGTTCCAGCAAATCAAAATCGAACTCTGATGGTATCGGGAATCTGTATCCAAAGGCATCTTCAACGGCGAATGGCTCTTGGAAATAAGTCCAGCCGGTATTCACTGTTCTTCCCGCATCTCGGATCTCGAGAACAACGGCATATATTTGCTGGGTTGAGGCACTGCATGATGGATGGTTAGTTTTCGGCTCTACGAGTGTACGTGAGGGGAAGAAGCATACAAGACTTTGTTCACCAACTGTCCGAAGTTGGTTAGGAATGATCTAACCTCGCCGAATACGAACTGATGCAGACCAGTGACTAGTGTCTGAACGTTGCTCGCTACAACCCCTAGGCTTGATACATCCTTGCCAACATCTGCGAGCGTCCTTTGCGTATCAAGAATTCCCTCAGCGATCTGTCTGCAGACTGCTTTCGTATCCTTCCTCATATCTTGCATCTCCCCAGCAACATGCCGTATCAGATGCATGTTGATGACACTGCTGTAGAACTGGATATTCCTCTGGAGTTGTACGACTTCTTCCTTCCGGCAGAACGTCCAGAGGAGCTTATCCTTGGTACCTCTCAGCGCATTCGACCGGCTTGATGAGCCTAGCGATGGTTCGTATGGCTTAATCTTCGCCCAAAACTCGTCAAGTCGTTCGTGGCAGGATTTGATTGTGTCGTTGAGTGCCGAGGGGGTTGCTCTACTGCTCAGTCGACTCAGATCGTTCAGGGCTATCTTGAGTGCGTCGAGCTCGGTGACGAGTTCCTGGTATTCAGACTTTGCTCCACCAGCAGATCGCAGACAGTCGATGATGTCTTTGATTAGTTTGGTGGTGGCTATAACGTCTCCGATACCGACACTGAAAGGCATGGCTGAACGATGTAAGTGACACGAAGCGTGTCTACCCGGGTAGGTTGTGTGGTGGGTGCGGTGGTCGTCGCAGTTCTCTCTGTCAATGGTTAGATACCTAGGTGGTAGATGATGAGAACACCGAACGACTTGCCTGATGTTAGATACGGAGTGCGAAACGGAGAAGTGAAAGACTCGAGGTATGCGACTGCTGCGAGGTTATAACCGCCAGCTTGTGGGGCTGTGCTGCATGTCGACCATTCCACCACCACTCCCAGCCTTGCTGCAGGCAGACCCATCAGGCACGAACCAACCTACAATCACGAAAATTGATACTTAGAAGCGTCAATGAAGACAAATGGTTTGCTACTGAGATGCGCAATCGGCGAAGTTGACAGCAAAGATACGAGGAAGGCGTTGATGTGCTGAAGCGACAAGCGAAAACTGCAGGTGCGCCACGTGGTAAGGCTGGAAGTCACGGCTAGTTTTCAGCCCTCATAGAATTAACCATCAAAAAGTTACTGTATACTTATTGATATTCCATACTGCGCAGGTTGCATGCAATACTACGTCTGTCATCCTCCGGCGTCGATATGTTTGCCAGCAACATGCGAATGAATACTAGACAAATGAACCCCGTATCGATCAAGGCATTTACCAAGCTCCCGCCCAACCTCCATACAGCGCGGAGACCCTTCCTTAAAATCCGGCTCAAGCTCGAGTTGAATCGTTCCAAAGAATCTGCCGTCTACAGGACCTCCCACAGACACACTATAACAGGATATAACACCATCCATCTTGGCGATATCTCCAGCGACCGGGCCATAAGCGGGAGGATAGTCTCCAAACGGGTCATATCGGACGTTTCGTCGTGTACTTCGCTCCATGATGTTGTAAGAGACAATGTTGGATGGTTGGTTGCGGGTATGCGCAAGCTGTTTGAGAGGGAATAATTTCGCGCCATGCGTAAGGACGTCCTCGATGTTTGATAACATGTCGTTGGCCGGATAGTAGTCTAATTCGCGATTGGAGCTGTATCAGTCGTATTAGTGAAGTGTCGCCAATGGATAGAAATATGCTTACCATACGGACCCGCCTCCGCGACATGGGATTGCCTGCGCGGACTCGCAATGAGGTATGGGCCACACTGCCTCTTTGACGATTCGGGTGCTCACGATGATGAACATCGTGATGGCTGTTCCAGGCTGAAGCCGTGAGGACTCGTTGATGATATCAAAACGATTCTGTTTCCTACACAGTTCGTAGTTCCCCGCCTTCACCTCCATGGACCCCCCGCCAATTTTGAATCGGTGTTTAATAACGGTATCAATCAGGTCGTAGTCATACTCTGTTGGAATGGGAAATTTGACTCCGAAGGCGTCTTCCACTTCCAAGGGAGCCTGGAAGAAGGTCCAGCGCGTGTCTACTGATATCTTGTTCCGGATATCAAGCAAAACATCGTAAACTTGCTGCGTTGAAGTACTGAATCAGTCGTTAGCTCAAGCCTAAGCCATATCATGGTTAGGTTACGTACAGGGTACTGCTGATGAGCTGGAATAGACGAATCAAATACAATTTGACGTCTCCGAAGACGAACTGATGCATGTCTTGAAGCAGTGTTTGGACATCACTCAACACGCCTGCCTGGCGCGTGTTCTCTTTGTCCATGTGCTCAAGAGCGGTCTGGGCGTGATGAAGCTGTTCAGAGGTATGCGAGAAGTCAATTGCGGTTGTTACGCGCAAGATCTCCAGGCGCTCAAGACTGTGTTGCGCTAGATGGAGGCTAATGATACTGTGGCAAATGTGAATGTCCCGTCGAAGTTGTTCGATTTGATCTTTCCGACGAAAATGCCAACCGAGCTTGTCTGATGTAGCCCTCAAAGTGGATGCGTGGCTGGCGGAGCCCAAAGACCCTTCGTACTTCTTTACTCTTGACAAGAACCCCTCAAGCTGTAACCTGCAATTCGTGGTAGCAATCTTGATCGGGCCAACATGAGCGGATGCATTCCTGTCGTCCTCGATGTGATCGAGGTGGTGTAATGATGTATCGAGTGCTTTGAGATCTCTGATCAGCTCCTGATATTCCGACTCAGCTCCACCTACGGACCGTAGGCAGCCGACAGCTTCTTTTATCAGTTTTCCAACAGCAATGAAATCGCCAACAGCAATTCCGAAGGACATTATTATATTTGGAAGTAGAGGAGATGTCTGCTCATCTCAGGTTGTAGGGATACATCCCGTTGGGTTGTTCACCGGCTCATAGGCAATCTGATGCTGTTGTCAAGCTGCGCGCAATAGAATATGAAAGGAAGTGAGTAAAGCGTGTGAGCGGTTTGGGAAGGTGGATTGAAAGTGACGGCAACTGCGAGATGATAAGTGCGAGTGACAGGATGCAAGAGATATATAGTACTCCATCCTGGTACCATGCTCCTTTTAGGGTGGGCGAATGAAATTGACGGGGAGGATCGTTCGTGCACTCCACCTGCAGCCAAGGAAGGCGCAAGCCTGCATGCAACTGCAGCTTAGTGGCTCCGCGACCCCTTCCAGCCTCGCCATTCGACTACCTGTTCGACCAACACCGTCATAATTAGAAACGTGTAACATTGAATAGCTCGGAACGGAAGAAGGGTTAGGATACACTTGGACTCCAGATGCGATAGTGACCAACCGAAAGCGAAGATAAGAAGGCCGCAGCTGAGATCCCGATGATTGGCTGCTTTGGTGGTGCTTCATTCCAAGCGTTCGCAGTGTCCAAGTAGGTTATCAGTACGTGTGGCAATCAATTGGTGGTTTCCTGCTCCGTCCCGATACATATGGTACAAGCATATATACACAGCGCAAGATCATTCTCAAACCTTGATCGCGTACCGCCTGGGCTTGTCGCTTTCGACGGTCTTTCCTGTCCTCTCCTTCGCCCACAACCTTAATCTTGACATGCGCTTTAGATTTGACGCCTCCCGCTTCCTCAGTATCTCCGACTCAAGCTCCTCTGATGTGGGCTCCATAGCCGCTGCCTTCTTCTTCTGTATCTCACGATTCGGCTTGGAAACGTTCTTGTGTAGTAACTTCTCCACTTGCTCTCGAAGCGTCCTGGCTGCTTCCCGCGTGTCGTTTTGGTCAATTGCCCCGCCGAGCCTCACAGAGTCCCGAATCTCCCTTTCCCTGTCTTTCCTGCCCCATGGTTCGAGGTCGGGTGTCTCAGGCCAGACGAATGGCTGCTCCAACTCTACTGTCATGTATTTCTTCGACTCCTCGCGGAACCAATGCCGTGGTTGTTCGCGCGTATCCCGTACCGGCATTTGCTTGACGTACGATCGGATGTTGAAGCATTTGACGTTGTAGGCGTGGTAGAGGTAGTCGCGGAGGTCGTATTTGGAGAAGTCTAGCGGGACCTGGAAGCGGGCATGGTATGGGGAGAGTTGGGGCGTGCGAAGAAACGCAACCGTGAATTTGGGGCTGGCTCGTGTCAGCCTTGAGCGTAAATGAGACATCTCCGTGACTCACAGGTATATCTTGTTGCTGCCGAAGGCTATCAGCTTTTTTGTGATGGGCACGGCGTCCATGGTGGCGGGGCGATGAGGTCCAGACTCTCCAATTGCCAGCGGTCGCAAAGATTCGTACGTTCGATAAGGAGTACAATAGCGCTTTCGAGGAGTGCGGACCGCGACGATGCGGTATATCGAGTTGCAATGGGTTTCGCGATGCTCAGAAAATGGATCGGGAGTCGCTCCGCAAACGCCGATGCCCGCCAAGCCTTTCTCAACTTCGGTAGCCTTGCCCACGACTTCTTCCATCGCTCCTGCTCGATACCTGTTAGGAGTACTCTTTTGTCTATCGCTTTACTTGACCACATGACTTTCGAATTCAGATGGATGGATTGCGTGATCTTTCATGTGCTGCTTAGCCTACCTCGTAACTTATGTTTGCCAGCCAATAGCTCTGCGCGATACGATGCAACTACCTAAACATCAAAGGTCTATCTGCTTATTATCGCCCGAAGCCTCTCTGTCGTGGATACGCCTTCCTGGGCTGCATGTGTGGCTTTGGTGGCGTGCTCAACCCCTTGTAGCAGGAGAGAGCTCGCCCTCCTCCATAACAGGCCACCTTAGACTACAGTGTCTCCAAGTAGCAGACCTTCCCCCTCACCCATACTATGAGGATACTTCTTTCATTCTGTCATAGATCTCCCTTGTCTCATTCTTCCTCGTTTCATGTTCAGCTTCTACAACCTCTCCATTAGTACAATCACTTCTTCATCAACCAAGCTTCCCGCATTATTGCACACGATCTCCTTGGTGATACAGACATAGAGTGCGCTTTTGAGCTTGCTCTACCCTTGCGTTGCGTTCGAGCTCTTCTTGCAATAAAGAGGAGGTGCAGCACAACAGCCTGGAGGCCTTCGCTGGCACTCTGCTCCGAAAACATACTACAACGCTCTCGTATGAATCAACCGTAATCACACACTTCCCTAAATTGCACCTTGAACACAGAATGAGACGAAATAGGTGCGCTTTGAGACTGTATACGCATGCGCACTAGCGCCACCGCGCGTTTGCTCTTTCCAATTCAGCGTCACCTCGACCTATCTCCGTAGCGACGAACACCACAACACTGCCAATCCTCTCGCCCCGGCGCCGCTACTTTGACACTGCTTCTAGTTCTCCACACAACAAGGAAGCCGCAGCGATGGACGGACAGGACACTGGCGCTCTGCCAAAGCCCAAGCCCAAGCCAAAAAGGTTCATTCCGGTGCCCCCGGAGTACCGTCGCCTCACTCATACTACAGAACGCGAGCTCATCGTCAACGACATCAAGATCAACTTTGGCTGCGATGTCATCCCCAAATGGGACGCTGGGTATATCACTCAGTTCGCCATTGCTGGACAAGGTGCAGGCCTTGAGAAGGCCATCCGATACATCAACCATTGGATCTCCAACGCGCACATCAAGTCAAAAGACTCATCATCATGGGCGAAGACGCCTGCGTTCGATCATAACAAATGGTACTACGACAGCATTGAAGAGCGGGAGCGTCAGCGGAAAGACGAGTTCAAGGGCAAGGCGCCTGAGGTATCAAAAGGCGAGATGCCACTGGCGAGCATCATCGTGTGCTGGCCGGAGGACCTCCTCAACGAAGGCGTCACTCCTCGCGATGTCTTCAATAACAAGCTAGAAGCGCTTAATGCCATTCGGACTCAGAACGAGGTGTACATAACGCTTCTTCCTACTCAGAACGACGTTTGGCAGATTGAGATACAAGGCAAGCCCATCATATATCTACTACATGCGATACACACTAACTTTTACAGCCCGCGACATAGCGCGCATCGAAGCAGCCGAAGCGCATCTCATGACGATGATCGACAAAGTCAAAGCTGATGCTATGGGACTGCAGCATGTAATCAACATGATTCTTGATGAAAAAGAGGGCTTGGAGGTTGTTCTGGAGGAGGCTGACGCGTGGTGGCCGAACCTGTACGTGAATTACAAGCGTGAACTGCAGACCAGTGCTGACCTCTTTCGCTCAACATCAGTCAAGATCGAGTCGTACCTCGCCTCCTCTCCAGTGGGATAATGGAAACCTCCGGCAGCTTCCGCAATGAGATCATGCACTTCACGCAGCTTTCAAAGATCCAGCATTCAATTCAGCTGGCCCTTGAAGCTGTGCGCCACACGAAAAGCGCGTACGATATGGCTATTCGGCTAGGGTGCCTGGCTCTGAGCTCAAGACATATCAAGGAGGATAAGATTGGCCAGAAGTTCGGGAAGGAGATCTTCTTGAAGTCGATTAACGGACCTGTTACAGTTGAGATAAAGAAGTGGTAAGTGTGTCCCCTCGTGACGACTAGCATAATGGCTAACAACATAGGCTTGCTGATGATGCACTGGGCTCGCAAATTCTGGGAGCACTCTGCATGGCCAATGAATTCCTGGAGCCGACGAAGTCTTCTGCCTACTTCGGTTATACGCCAAAATCGCTGCAAGGCACTCGTCCAATGTTCCGAGGAACGTGGGTGTTCACAGACCCCAGCTGCGTTGTTGCTCCACCACGAGAGCCGGTAGCTGTGCGCCATGCTGGACGTCCTAAAGCACCTCCCCAAGCTCCTGCTAGTACAACCACTCCATCCGCGGCGCCGCAGTCCGAACTCATCGTTGTTCAGGTCGACTGGACTGATGACGAAGAGGGCTTGTACGAGAAGACAACAACCCGGTTCTACAAAATCGATCAGGGCCGTAAAACACCAAGAAAGAACATGGATATAAACCTGCTGGAGCTTGGAGAGAGCCGAGGATGGCACTTCGCCCTTGAGTCCTTGATTCCTGTGGCAGCGAAGAGCATCTCGCCTGTCATTACTGGCTTCGCTGATCGAGTCAAGATGAGACCCAACCACGATTATCGTTCGACCGAAAGCTTCGCTGAGTGGGATCAGACACCTACCGTCAAGAAGCACCTACGGAACGGCCGTCTGGAAACTATCTACTCATTCGGCATCAAGCAGACCTGCTACAAGGTTGAGGCTACTTGTATGTGGTACCCAGGACAGAGGCTTCCCGTCTGGGGTCTCTGTGTCCGCCACTCTGAATGGGCTACCCATCTTGCTGAGCTTGAGCGTCTCCCTGTGGGTCGAAAGGTCGACTGGGGTCACACTGTGGCTACGTTCCTGCCAGATGACGGACAGTCTTGCTACTCCAGCGCGGTTGAGGACGAGGACTTCGGAATGAGGAACCTCGATCTGGGCCCTGGCGTTGAAGCACCACCACGCGATGGTATCCGCATCCTCATGGACAAGCTGCTTCAGCTATCAGCCATCGTCAGTTCTGTCACAGACATGGGAGGCGTCGCTATCTAGAGGACGGGAAAACTGAACACCATGGAGGCTACATTGACGTTAGGTCATCTACTTTGCATATTTTCATGTTGATGTAGGCTGCAGACCAGGGGGCTTCATTCTCATATAGTATGATGCCAATACCACAAGTACTTGGCTCCAGTCTTGGGCCATGAACTCTCGTAGCTCTTTTTACAGACCCGCTCGATGCTCCAGCCGTGCTTCTACTCGTGCTGCATGCGGCTTGTCTGGTACTGGCATTTGATCCTCTAAGATGATATTCGTTCAAATCCTCGCAACTCTTCAGCTGCCTTGCTCTTCGCCCTTGCCTTCCTGTGCGTTCATGACCTTAAGCCTGATAACCTCCTCTACAACTCTCACATTCTGCGCCTTGCCCTGCACAACACCCTCCAAGTCCTTCAAACTGTCGCCCAGATCCTTAACCTTGCGCTCATAGAAGTCTTTCGCACTCGCAATATCCTTCTCCACAAAGAAACCAGTGCCTACATCCACCAGCACGTGCTCATGATCGGTGAGTTTGCCCGGTACGTATAACGAGGATGTCAAGGGGACGAGGAGCGGTTTCGAGACGGTGGCCGGTGTGAGGCCTGTCGAGATGGAGTTCAGGCAGTCGCGGAACTTGGACTGGGCGGTGCGCAGCGATTGGAACGAGTTGGACAGGTGGGTGAGTTCGGCGTCGAGTTGGGTTTTTAGTTCCTGGAGGCGGGGGACAGGGAGCGATGTGATTTCGACTGCGAGGTGATATTAGCACAATGCGCGACGATCTGAGATCTGGGTGCATTTACTTTGACCAGGCTGTGCGCCTTGAGCCTGAGCCATCTTGGTGTCGCGTGGGCTGGTGCTGAGCTTCCTGGTGTTTGTGACGATGTAAACTTTAGCAGGGGCAGGTTTTGGCGGGGCGGGTGCTTGCTGCTCGTGTGGGGTACGATAACGTGAGAGCGTGTCAAGCTCCCGAGCGAGCTGCATCCGTGCAATCCTTCACACCACAGTCTAAACCTCCATGCCGAAGCCGGCCCCTGCCGTTCCTCGCCATTGGAGCAGAAGGCCAGATGTACAACCAACAAAATATCCGCGGTTTCGGATCTTGACGAAGACGGAATACCTGGATAAGAAGAAGGAGTTCAGCATACCTGCATTCGACCCCGACCAACCCGCGCTCTTCAAAAAAGCCTTTCTGGATATACCTGCAATCCGGAAGTGGTTTAAGAAGGATGCCTTCCTCGACGCATCTTTGACAAACAAGTGGAATAATAAGCCCAACACATTCAGATATCCGCAAGAGCTGAACACAGCGTACCTCGAGCAGTACGGCGATGCGATCGTGCCATTGGAGCTGACGCGCTCATCTCCCGAAAACGCCCTCGGAAATGAAGCCTTTGAGCGCTTCGAAGCCCCTCTGGCTCTCCTATTACAACACATGAGTGCTGCGGACGCGCAAGAAACGAGTTTGTACCTCGCGCAACACTCGCTAGCCGATCTTCCAGCGCCTCTGCAAGAAGACCTACCTACGCCATTGACTTTCCTATCCCACCTCAACGCCCGCGGCGATATTTACGCGTCGAGTCTCTGGATGGGCAGACCACCTACGCGCACCCCGTTACATCGCGACCCGAACCCGAACCTCTTCGTACAACTGGCAGGAAAGAAAACGATCAGGATGATGAAGCCTGGGGTGGGTCGGGTGGTGTTCGAGGCTGTAAGGCAGCATATACGGGGACCGGGCGGAGATGCGAAGATGAGAGGAGAGGAGATGATGCAGGGTGCGGAGATGGAGGCTATGGAAATGGCGGTTTGGAATGAGGATGGAGATGGAAGTATGGGGAGTGCGACGGGCTGGGAAACAACTTTGAGGAGTGGGGATGCGCTGTATATTCCTAATGGATGGTGGCATGCTGTTAGGGGGGTTGGAAAGGGTGCGAATGCTTCGGTGAGTACAGTATGGAACTTGGCATGGGTGTGTTTACTAACGGTTGTACAGGCCAACTGGTGGTTCCGCTGAATGAACTGCTAACGAAGCGCACATTGCTCGAAACCGATGGAGTACTTTCCGGCGTCAGCCGTCACGACTTGACTTCGACCCTCACAGTAGCCTCTGTCCCGTCGATCCATGTACCAATTGACCGCGTCCCAGGAACGATCTCCACCTCCCTCATGACCCGCTCCATACCCATCTCCGCCTCGCTATCTTCAGAATCCCAGTCGTCATCTACGATGTCCGTCGCTGATTTCCGCACCGACATCCAATCGCCCGTCTCCCAGATCAGTCTGCACTTCATGGGCTTAATGCCGAAGTGCTTCCCAACAATACCGAGAACCGTGTACGCCGTGCCGCTCATCGGGATCTCCGTCTCGAATACCGCATCTGTGGATGTCGCAAGGTAGAACTTGATACGGAGTAACCGCGCAGCAAGCGAGTTAGGATTCACAGCGTTGACAGAACGCTGAACATCCGGCTCGCCATACTCCTCACACAACCACTCGTACCGTGGATGACTCTTCAATATCTGCTCTCGCAGGTTCTCGGGCGCGAACTGCACTTCCTTTGCGATCATGGAGAGATAGTAGGACTCTGCGTTCAGCCGCTCTTTCTCATTGATGGGACTGTGGTTCAGGGTCTTCAACTGCCCCAGTCGTGCAAGCGTAAGCATGTATCCATCATCCGCTGTCAAGTTCCGTCCATCCGGTGCTTGTAACGACTGATAAAGCGGGTTCTGCGATACACGCAGGCTTCGGAGACCTGGGAAGACGTGTATGAGTTGTTCGATGAACGCCCATGTTGAGATTTCGTTGAACGAGAGATCGACTTCTCGGACTGTGTTGGAGAATACTGGTATCGATGCCCCGGAACTGGTTATCTCGGAGATCTTGTTCGATTTGAGGATGAGGCGGTGTAGGTTTGGGAGGGCTGTGAGGCAGGCCAGTGAGAATAGGGAGGTGAGGTGGTTGTCTTCGAGTGTTAGGTCGGTGATTGTGGGATTGAGGGTGTGATGGGTGAGGCTTGTGTAGAGGTTGCTGGACGCTGAGAAAGTTGTGACCGAGGGGAAGAGATGCGTTAGGAGAGCGAGATCGGCCCAGGGGAGGAGGTTATCTTCTAGTTTCAAAGAGGTTATGCTCTTGAAGGCATTCAGACAACGGACTCTCTCTGGTTCTGATACCGATGTATCGCGAAGACGTATGCCACTGCGCTTCCATTAGTAAACCCAAGAGGAAACCGCGTTTAGCGATAACTCACTCGACCCTCAAACTCCTCAACCCAGGCAGCTGTTCGCATATCGCAGCTACTTCCCTCCACTCCTCAAAAAGATTCCTGCTCAGATCAAGTTCCATCGCCTTTGGACATGCCTCCTTGACATCACTCTTCTTTCCTCCTCTTAGCCACCCCTCTCCCCGTGCTTCAGGCCTCTGCATACAAAGCCCATCCAAAATAATAATCTTCAGCTCCCCCAACTGCGCCAACTGCCTCCTAATCTTGTCAAACCCAATCTCCTCCGCTGGCTTCCCATTAAACAGCACCGGCTTCTGTTTCTGCTGCACAGGCGGCTGGTGATTAAACACGACATGGACATCTGGATCCTGGAAGTCTTCCTCTAGGATTTCAGACGCGTACTTTGACTTTAGCGCTTGGACAAAGGTGCGTGGCTGATCTGGTTTGCGGGTTGGTCGGATGAAGGATGCGGATGTTGGGGAGGGATTTAAGCAGGTGAAGTATTGGGTGCCTTGGTGTGTGCCGGAGTGTTTTCCTCGTGTGGGCTCGTCCCATTCTACGCCGAGCCAGAGGCCGGTTGTGCCTTGGATGGGGCCGTGGTAGCGGATTGTGCAGAGGTGGGCGTCGTAGGAGAGGCGCTTTCCTACGTAGATTTCTGTTGCCATGACTGACACTATCCTCGATGATTCCTTCTCTTATGGTGGGTATCTGCTAAGGTGTGATGCAAACGTCCAGGTCGCAGTACGTGTCTCTTATCTAATATGCCATGACAGAGGGACACAATGGAGTAGGTACAGTAATTATCCGATACAATCTCAGACCTTCTGGACAGAAAGTGAGAGCAGCTCACAGACGCTAGCATGCACTATGCGAGGTGAATGTGTGGAGGCAACCGCGCACGTGATATCGAAGTGCAGGGATCAGGTACCTGGACACTAGCGTCGCACGCCTCCAGAAGTTCTGTCGCGCAACATCACTTCAGCACGACGACTTCTACACCGCCCAACACCTGGCCGTTGCCTACGTAAAAGCCACCCTCTTTCCTGTCTAATCGCGACCAAGATTGACACAGCAGATCGTGAAGTTTCTCAAAGATGGATTACCAGGTACGTCCCCCGTCGCGAAGGTCAGGAACAGCTACTAACGTCTACAGAATCGCGCAGGCTCCAAATTTGGAGGTGGTGGTGTCGCATCACAGTCCGCGACGAATGCCGACCGACGAGAGCGTCTCCGAAAGCTCGCGCTCGAGACCATCGACCTTGACAAGGACCCGTACTTCTTCAAGAACCACGTCGGCAGCTTCGAGTGCCGTCTCTGTTTGACGGTCCACCAGAACGATGGATCATATCTCGCGCATACACAAGGAAGGAAGCATCAAACAAACTTGGCACGTCGCGCGGCGAAGGAGCAGAGAGAAGGCAAAAGAGATGATGTGGGCCAGCAAGGACTGCTCGCGGGTGTACTGCCCAAGAAGAACGTCATCAAGATCGGTCGGCCTGGATACCGCATCACAAAAGTACGCGACCCCAACACACGCCAAAATGGCTTGTTGTTCCAGTTCCAGTTCCCGGACCTCACACCCGGCATCACTCCCAAGGTCCGTGTCATGAGCGCATACGAGCAGAAGGTGGAGGAGCCAGACCCAAACTACCAGTACCTCATTGTTGCTGGTGAGCCTTACGAGACGGTCGCGGTGAAGCTACAATCTCGCGACATCGACAGACGGGAGGGCAAGTTCTGGTTCTGGTTCGACGAAGACGCCAAGGAATTCTGGTGCCAGATTCTCTTCAAGACTGAGCGTGACGAACGCTTCAGCGCAGTACCAGGTCTTGCTCCCGGACGATAGCCGCGCTCTCATAGGCGGGGCGTTCAAGACTTCTACTACTTCGGGAATTGTACTTTTAGGGCGTTTTGGCAGCGTTTATCCGGCGCATCATGACCATCTTTGAGGGGAGTTTACGTCGGTGTAGGTAGTCCCGGAACAGAATATTGGATAATGTAAATCTAACATGAATCAAGAAGTGCTTGCTGCCGATTGTCTAGTGCCAAGCTGCTCTTTCCGAGATTGAAATATCCGGCATGCGGTCACATCGTGAAGCGTTGAACACGAAGTGCCAAGTTCCCACATGGCTCTATTGGCAATACTTGTGACTCACTCCAGGCAAGAACTCGCATCTTCAAGTGCAGATTGTGTTTGAGGGTTGGCCAGGTTCAGCATGTAGAAGGTGCGCCTGCTCGATCTTGGATGCTCACATGGCAAGAAGGCTTCCGCCTTGCGTCTGCACCTTCCCTACAGGACCTCTGGGCCGAACAGCTTCAGCAACACGAGCCACCATTGCCTTCTCACCGTCTTTCTCGCTTCTGCATTCAATCGATCAGACCGCTCCGTTGGTTCGCCACCGCTTCAAATACAAATTGCCGGCTGAGCTAAAGCCAGAACTTGCTTGCCGCTTGCGGGTATCTGGCCCTTCTGGTACTCGATCATGCTGTTTCAGTGATCAGCTATCATCAGGCCAAGAGCTACGTGCGACTAGACTGCTGCCGTTCATACATTGCAGTAGTGTGCAGGTGTTGGTATGCTCGCCTCCTCCTCGGTTCTATACTATCGAAGCATGTTTGATGGAGAATGACGCAGCTCCCTGAGAAGGCTACTAACGCGCTTACTTGTGTGCTGCAGCTTGTCGCTTCAAGTAAGACTTGACGGAGCCGGTCTCGGAACGTCGCCTAGCAAGCGTTGACGCCTGAGAGCTTTGCTCTTGAAAATGCCGCGAACTGAATCCGGTGAACAGTTCAACTTTAGTATAATGCAGATGTCCAATGCATTACTGACGAGTTACACACTACAGGTACAGGCTGTGTCAACTGAACCCCGCCTCGATTGTGTTGACACCGAGTTGCCTTGAATCCTACTCGGGATGCGGATCTAAATGGCGTCAAGACTGTATGACACTCGACGACGGAAGAGGAAATCCAGCTAGATGGACGCGTGGAGCTCAATTCACCGCACTCTCCACCTCCAATACTGCATCGGACTGAATCCGGTGGAGACTTCAACTTCATGAGCCTTGTTCTCTTGCTGTATGGTCCATCGCATACGTGGGTCTCTTTTTAGGTCCCACCGATTCACCTGCGGGAGTGGATGACTATCTAACTCAAGGCGGTAGGCGTAGGCTTCCCGACCTCAACAGACATCACGTTCTACTTGGACTCATCTCCGGGTCGTTCATGAGTATCATCTGATGCACGAATGGATAAATACGATAACCGCCCTGGTCTTTTCAAGCCCTCGGCGCAACTGGTAGCACCTGACCGTCTTTTCGTCGAACGAATGCTGGATCTGGTCTGATGATTGGCCACGACTACCTTAAACGTCGATGCAGCCTCGCCACGCTTCCCCACTCTGGAGTGGACCGCCTCACCGTTCGAACGCAGTTTGCCTATGCCGATGATCTGACATGGAAAGAACGACAGCGCCCGGCAGGATTGAGGATCCGAAGGGGCTGGGGTTCGTCTCTAGGTTGCAATAGCGCAGCTACTCTCTAGCGAGCCTTGGGGACATGCCGAAGCCACTAGCACCCACTACCTTCATGATTCAAAATCACAAATGGACCATCTTGGAGCTGATCCGCGATTGCAGGCAAAATGGAAGCATGAACAGTGAGCCCGTTGGGGACGATCTCGAACCCTATACTGGACGTTTGATTACACTTTCACACAGCGGACCTGCGTTTGTACATGGTGTTGCAGCAACATTTGTTTTTGCTTCGGTGTTGCAAAAGCCGATGAAGAAGAGA